GGGGGAGGAGGAGGAGGAGAAGGAGGAGAGGAAGAAGAAAAAGGAGGAGAGAAAGAAGGAGGAAGAGGAGGATATACGTTGAAACCGGTATCAGGCGGAAAAAACTTCTTTCTCTTTGATTGCGGCATATTTGATGGGACAGAGAGTGATGAAGAAGACGAAAAAGGTAAATGTTATCGCAATGATTTATTTCTTTTTTAACTTTAGGGAAAAAATAGGAAATCATTTCCAACATTTCGCTATCATTTTGTTATCGTCATCTCATTTCACATATATCTTTATTATCATTATCATCGACATCATCAAAATTATCATCATTGTCATTATTGCGACTACCAACAACAAAATATAAGCCAAATACGGAAATCATCATTACAACTATTCACCTCCATCACTACCACCACCATCATCACCGTTGCCACCACCATCATCATCATCATCACCACCAGTAACTATCATCAGCACAATCATCACCAACAACATTTATGACGAATACCAGCAATATAGGCTAGTCAGTCCAATCATATATACTTTTCTTTCTCATCTTCTTTCGTTTTTTTTATTTGCTCGAATAAATTTATTTTTTTAATTCAGATTTCTAATTTTATGAATATTGTAAAATTAATTATGCAAATTACAAATTATTATGTCATATTTTGAAAAAGGAAAAAGATGAAGAAGAAAATGGAAATATTAATAAGATATAGTAATTAATGAATAGAAATACAATGAATCGAAATGTTACATTTTTCGTTTTTGTTAATTAGTCAAATTATCAAAAGGAAGAATAAATGTGAAAATTTTCCAAGAAATCTTATAATTTATCAATTTTTTTTTCACTTAAAATAATTTTTACCGTTTTCTTTTTATATTCATTGTTTCAGAACAATCGATTATGGCGAAAAAAAAAAATGATTAATTACAAATGGTGGAATATTGTGAAAAAATTGAATTCGAACGAAACTTTTCAATTGCTCTGAGTAAAACAATTCATCATTCCAGCAATTCAAATCAATTTCCGCAACGAAATTGAAAACTTAAATTTTGAATTTTCCTGATACAAGAAAAGGATGATTATGAATGATTATGATGATGACGTATTCATCGGAGTAACTTCAAATTTATCAACAAAAATGCAAAATGAATGTTTAACATCAAATTTACCAGGATATATTTGCAATTCGGATATACTTCAATTTCCAGTAACAAATGATAAAATTAACTTTCATAATGCTAATATGCCGGATGTATCAAAGGAATTACCAAATCCGATCACAATATCAACCATTTCCAATGGATCCTCTGATAATTCGCTTGTTCCTGTAAAATTCGAGGTGTAATTCATTTCTAATTTTTACAAATTATTAAAAAAATTTATTATTCTTAAAAATTTTGATCACACATATGTTAATGGTAATTAATTTTAATTTACTAATGTTAAAACATATTTAGTAAATAATTCCACAATTACATTTGCAATTTTAGTTAATTTTCTTTTCTTCAAAAAATGCATTTTAATTTATTATGAGTGAGGTAAAGAAAATAATAACTTAGAATATAAATTAAAGCTAATATGGGGAAAAGAAAAGAAATTCAGTATAAAATTTGAAATTAAAATTAATTTAAAATTTCATTTCTTTTCTTTTGTTT